AGTTTATTTGTAAAAACAGCATAAGGTCCTGAACATCTGCAAATACTGTGTAGGTGTTCACACCAGTCCATCTGTCTTCACATTGGCAGACTGCGACCTTTTTTATGGGGCCTTCACAGGGGCCTGGGCACCTTTGGGAGCCTGAGCTGCAGCTGAGGCCTCTGCCTTGGCTTGAACCTTGGGCTTTGTTTTTTGGAGCCTACGACCCCTAGCCATGTAGCTTCTAATCCTCTTCCCAAGCTTGGGGTGAGCAATTAAAACCAGAAGGGTGAGTTTGCGGGTGGGGCCCTTTGGCACCTTGGGCTTCACCACCTGGGGCTTCACCAGGGCCTTGATGGCCTCCGCACGTGCACTCAGGGCCTTTGCATTATTTGCCTGCATCTTCTTCAGGCCTTTCTTGTTGTGCTTCTTGGCAAAGCACATGTTCCTCAGGAACTTGGGGTCAACCCCCTTGAGAGATTCGTATCTTTGTGACCGGGGTTTCTTGATGCCATTTCTGTGCCATTTCTGGGACTGGTTGTGTGTGGTGTAGAGCCGCCGATTACCATCCAGCCATGGCCAAGTCCAAGAACCACACAACCCTATCTTTAAAATGGTTGACAGACAAATCTGTATGGGTTGTACAAGGCCTTTAACAGCAGAGAAACTATAGGCTTCAGAACAGCTGATACGGGAGCAGCTAAATGCTCCGCATACTGAAGAATCAACCAGTCCTTGGAATTCTCCTATACTTGTCAAGAAGAAACCTGGAAAATGGAGAATGGTAGCAAATCAAAGAGTTCTTAAGGTGATTCAGACCATGGGTTCTCTATAGTCTGGAATTCCTTTGCTTTCTCTATTACCTAAAAGTAATAGTTATTGATTTTATCTTTTAGCTACTGGTTTTAAAGACTGTTTCTTCACTATACCTTTACAAGAAAAAGACAGAGAAAAAAATGCCTTCACAAGTGCCTACTTATAATAATTCTCAGTTGGCTAAGGGAGATCAATGGAAGATTCTCCCACAGGAAATATTAAATATCCCCACCCTGTGCAAATATTTTGTACAATAGCCTTGGGTGGAGTTTTCCTTCTAGTACTTTCTGTAAGGCTGGATTTGTTGATAGGTATTATTTAAATCTTGTTTTGTCATGAAATATCTTGTTTTCTCCGTCTATGATGATTAAAAGCTTTGCTGGGTATAGTAGTCTGGGCTGGCATCCATGGTATCTTAGTGTTTGCATAACATCTGTCCAGGACCTTCTAGCTTTCAGAGTTTCCATTGAGAAGTTGGATATAATTTTGAAAGGTCTGTTATTATATTACTTGGCCTTTGTGGTTCTCCATATTCTTTATTCTGCATGTTTAGTGTTTTGATTATTATACGGCAAATGGACTTTTTTTTTGGTCCAGTCTATTTGGTGTTTTGTAAGCTTCTTGTACATTTATAGGAATATCTTTCTTTAGGTTGGGGAAGTTTTCTTCTATGATTTTGTTGAATATATTTTCTGTGCCTTTGATCTGGGATTCCTCTTCTATCACTATTTTTCAAGGTGGGACAGTCCTTCAAAAATCCTGGTTCATAGAAAAGTCCACCTAATATTCGAGGCCTTTAGACTGAGGATGGATACCCCAACATTACAGAAGAACTCCGGATGACTGTCCAGGAAACCAGTTGTTTCTGTCATTTCTCACATTTTTTGGAAGTTGATTGCTTGTACTTCCTGCTTACTCAGTTAATATCATTTCCTTCCCAGGTCTCTGAGGTAGTTGAAGACTAGATAGTTATAGTGAAAGTTTTCCATGTTTACCAGATGCAGAAAAGAAACTCACTAAAGAGATGTAAAGTGTGTAAGGTTGAGAGATATCAAAAGACAGTTTTAGATGGTTACACAAGTTATGATAGAAAGCAAATTAGGTACAAGACTTTTGACTCAGCAAAATAGGATAGATATGGAGTATTTTCTCTAAATTTGTCAAATGCAAATGGACTAGACATTGTTGATATATTTACTGTCTGTATATTATATATATATATTGTACTTATTGTATATAATTTTTCCCACATTAACTATAGCTTTCTTTTTATTTTAGAGGAAAATAGGAATATATAGTGGCATCGTATTTGTTTTTTAATAAATAAAGCTTGCCTGAAGATCAGAATGCAAGGCAGCCACACTAGTCAACTATATAGCACAGGCGGTGGTGGAACACACCTTTAATCACAGCACTAGAGAGGAATATGAAACAGGAGGAGACAGATCTCATGCTCAGGCTCAGTTTGAAGATTCATGGAGACAGCATCGTCCATTTCAGAGTGAGGAAGAGATTAAGAGCCAGTGGCTAATTGTTTTGCTTTTCTGATCTTCAGGCTGAACCCCAATATCTGTCTCTGGGTTTTTATTATTCATTCTATACTGAGGTTTAGGTCTCAGAATTCATATGTGGGCTCACAACTACTCTTCTGACTTGGGCACCTGCATATAAATGGTACAACTACAGGCAAAACACTCACATAAAAAAAATAAAATACTTCCAAAAAAGACAGCTAATATGGAAAGGGTTTTCAATGTCCCTAACACAAAAATGTCTGAAGTTGTACGTAAGCTAATTACCCTCATCTGGTCATTATATAGTGAACAAAATGGTTCTAAAATACATCATACACCAAAATGCATAATTCCTATGTATAAAGAAAAAACTAGCAAATAAAATCAGTTACTAAGTAATAAATAAATAATAAAATAAATAAAATTACTTGTATCTCTAGGTCTTTAGGTACCAACAATTCTTTCCTTTCTCCTTGGTATTTACCTAAACACCTAAACACTTAAGCTTAAGCTCCCAATCTAGAAAGACACAATCAACACCAAGAAGAACAACACTGTTCTCAATTTCAAGTTCTTCATTTGATAATAATTTAAAGCTAGTGAGTTTTAGCATGGTACTTTTATGTGTCAGGTCTTATACATTGCCACTTGACTCAGGTTACTTTGTTGTTTTAAACTAAGGGAACGGGGATGTGTTTAAATTTTAACTCTTGCTAAAATACACCACTTAACAAAAAATGTATGAGTTCAGTCAATCTTGTTTTCAGATTATAGCATGCCTGGTGAGACCACTAAAATTAAATATACCCCAAAAGTCTCAAGCAAATGAATAAACATGGAAGAAAACAACAGACATATTTTACTTGAACTCTATCCTTGCTTAGATTTCCCACAGTCATAGCCTGCATTATAGAAAAACATTCCATATTGGACATAAAATAAAATCAAAGACATTCTCACTCCCTGGCTTGGTAAAATGGCAGAAAATATGCTAAAATAGGGACTCCAGGGTTAAATTTTATACGAGAAACCATTCTAGGAGGGTGATTATCTCTTATTATTTCTCCATCTTTGGCCAGCTTTGTTTGCTAAAATCCAAACATAAAGGGAATCTATTAATGGCTTCCTATAGCTTTAACTTGGTGGTACCACCACCTAGCCCCCCAGAAGCAATACTCTTGAAGAAATTACTGATTCCATCCATTCAACACCTAGCAATTACTGGACTCCAATCAATTGTGCAGTGCTCTCCCAACATGTTCTATGCTTATTTCAACAGGCTCTCAGCTGGAGTTTGCTTCCACCTCCAAAGGGAAATAATACACACTTTCCAAGCTACCTAACAGATCTGTCATCAAGCATTATCATTGCAAGCAAGAGCTCAGTGAGACCCACCTTCTTCAGGAACACAGCATAACAATACACTAAAGCGTTCATGACCTAAAGTAAAGGGTTTCAGGGGGCCTGAGAAACTGAACTCTGCATACTAACAAGAAAACATATTTGAAAAGACAGCCAACACTGATAAGAACATCTGCAGTCAGGAGCCAAGAGAAACATGACAACATATGAAAAAAAAATCTGCAGGCATGTCTTGGCTCTGAGACTACAAAGAACAGCACACAGATAAAATTTCCATCTTTTCTCTGCCCTCCAAAACCCCAAGTCCCCTGCACCTTGACTACAGTCTCTATTTCTGTATTAAAGGACAATAGCAATGTGCTTCTATTGAAGTTGGTCTCCTCTTTCTTTTATTTTCATGTTCCCTCCACCAATCCTGGTCTAACAATAACAACCCTCTCCAAGGAGACTCAGATGACACACTAAAATAGACAGGCCCAATACCTACTAATATTTTGGGAGTAAGGTGGTGGGATCACTGTCTTCCACTCCCTTCCCTCTCAGTATGACTAACTCCAACATCTAGTATTTTGACTTAAATAGTCATCCTTTTATTCATTTGGCCTATTTGCATACAAAGACAGGAAAAACATTGCCCCTTATGAGTCCTCATCAATTTGCAGTTACATATTTATTTCCTTGGTTAATATTAAGCTTTTCCGATTGTTACAAGCTCTCTAAGAATGGCTATAGGCTGGATTGTGTTGCTTTGCCATAACCAACTACTCATGTATACAAGAAATGAACAAAACATTTAAATGTGTCCAGAGGGATGTACATCGGTGGTACAGGGGTTGCCTCACATGTACAAGGCTATGAATTCAAACCCTTGCACTACAAAATAAAGAAACATAATATCACAGTACACAACTTTCCTAAAGAATGAGGGAGTGTTTCAAAACAACACAACAGAATAACTATAACCATTGCTCTAAACACAGAGAGCCTTAAGGATATAATCACTTTCAATACTATAAACCTCCAAAGGGAACGAGAGAGATGGCTCTTTCAAAGGAGCAGGCTTACAACTAACTAACTCCAGTTCCAAGGGACCCTCTTCTGGCTTCTTTAGGTACTCACACTCACGTGCACATATAAGCACACAGACAAAAGCATATAAATAAATAATAAAATATATCTTAGGGAGACAAAACTACCTTTGATGGTGTCTTAGAACCAAGAACAACCAAAAGCATATTTTTGAACAATATGGAGAATCTTTTTCCATAAAGACCACACGTTAATGACATTTTAATATCTTTATTATTTTTTAGATTCATGTGTTTTATGTGTTTTGGTTTCATGTATGTCTGTGTACTATGAATGTGCCTGGTACCCAAAGAGGTCAGAAGAGGGGGTTAGATCACCTATGTCTGGAGTTATTGACAGTTGTGAGCTTCCATATTGGTGCTGGCAATAGAGCCTGGGTCCTCCCTAAGAGCAGCAAGAGCCTTTAACCACTGACCCATCTCCTCCGTCCCTAATTTCCTTATTTTATGATGCATTACCAGACACTTAAAGTTCAATTACCAAGCCTGCAATTTTCAAACTATTTCCTTTGAAACAGATGAAATCTGAAGTTTAAAAAAAGGCCACATTTATATCAAAGATTCTATAAAGCTAATTAGAACTCAATGAGTGCTGCAGATCTAGAGCAAAAGTCATCTGGGACTACGTTTAGTCTCCTTAAAATCCATCTAATGCTACCTCTGTATCTGATGTAACATCATTTCAAATGTCAGGTACAACCTTTGGTCTGTATTCTTAGCAGAACACTAGCTTCCACCAGTCCAAAGGGTAACAACCTATTATGGCCTGGCTATAACCCATCTTTTACCTGGTGTTTCCACCAACGTTTTCAAATTGCCTTGATTTATGACTTTTGGTCTAGAACTACAAAAAGTTCACATTGCCAGGTGCAGTCGCCTATGCTTTTAATCCTAGCACTCAGAAGAAGACAAGCCAAACTCTGTTCCGGGACAACCTGATCTACTTTGTGATTACAGTGTCACTCTTGCTGTGTATCCTGACTGGCAGAAAAAAATAAATGAAAAAGAAAAACAAATCGTGGAACCACTTCTACATTAGAACATGTTATTTGGGGCAACAAATGTTCTCGGGACATGGTCATTATTTGATTTAGAATCAGCTCTTACTACCTTTGAGGTGAGAGGATTTTTTTGGGTGTTGTTGTTGTTGTTTTGCATCAACACAGCTCACTCACTGACACACAAACACACACACACACACACACACATTTTTTTTTTCTTCAGAAACAAACCAATCCCAGTACTTCAACAGTCTCCACCCTTTGACTCCTGTGGGCAGGGCCTGAGAAGTTCAGGTGGACCGAATGACTGAATACTGTTTTTGCTGCTTTCAGTACACACAGACAACTAAGAAAGCGGCTTCTTACCCAAATGTAAGTGAGCGTTGGAGACAAATAAGGGGCGTGCGAAGAGGACGCCGTGTTTCTGAAGATACATTTGTCTGTAAATATACAGGGTGCCAACGCTCTCAACATCTCTCACCTCGCACTCACCAGAAGGCGCCGGACCCGCCAGTTCCTGAGGACTCAGGACGGAACCGGCCGGGCGGCGGAGATACGCGGGTCCGCAGAGGCCGAGGAAGCGCCGCCGCCGAGGGCCAAGCCCGCCTCTCCCTGGCCGCCTACGGGGCACCACCTTTGCGGAGCAACGGAACTCCATCTCTCGAAGCTCGCGCCGGAAGAGATGGAAGGCAACACCGACAGCGCTTCCGCTTCCGGCTCCAGGCCGGAGGAGCGATTCGGGCTCCTGCTCAGGCGGTTCGGAAGACGTCTTTTTTTTTTTTTTTTTTTCCTTGGCATCACCAGGGTCTCACCCAGGTTGACGCCACTGAGACGGAAAAATAACTCCGCGGACCCAGACCTGGGCGTAAGAGACCGCGGAGGGCGGCTAATGTCACTTCCGCTTTCGACCCCAGTCTCAGGCTGCAGGTGCCTCAGTTTACCCGGAGACCGAGTTTACGCCCCTTCGGGCAGGGAAATCACAGTCTTTAGAGTCTCAGCTGACCTAACGGCAGAACCAGGCTCACGAGCCTTGTTTAGGCGAAGGGCAGGCCAAGAAAGGATGCCTGGACACAGGACCTGTCAGAGCGCTCAGGCCGCCAGGAGTTGCTCTTCTTAGAGGCTGAGTTTCAGTCCCCGTGTACTCATTTAAGTATCCAGGTACTTGTGTCTCCAGTCACAGCACTAGACGAGGAACACGTGGTTAGAAGTAAAGTCCATTTATTTCAAAAACGCAAAGTGCCTCCTCCCGTAAGTATGTGAGGTCTTCTTTTGAGCATACTCTATTTGTTATGTAAAACCCAGTAAGGAAGTCTTTTTCTGCCAACTGGTTTCTTTTATATGTTAATGCCGGTGTAGCGTCTTCCAGTCTCTCCTGTCACAATACTCTTCTAGTGACTGCCTGTGTTTCTAGAGTCCTAATCTAGGCAGACTAGAAAGCTGAAATGAGAGGAAAGGGACATGAGAGGAAGGCCTGGAAAGGAGGTCTGCCTTGTTTATCCTCTGGTCAGACTGAGAAAAATTAAGACACCCTATAGGCTCTAGGGGTTCCTACTATTATGATTTTGCTAAATAGCCCTGTTGTTAATTTGTCTTTATGTGGTGGTTTGAATAAAAATGGCACTATTAGGGAGTGGAGCCTTGTTGGAGTGGGTGTGGCCTTGTAGGAAGTACTATCCTAGAGGGTGGGCTTTGAGGTTTCAGAAACTCAAACCAGGTCCAGTGAAGCAGTTTTTTTCCAGCTGCCTGGGATGTAGAACCCTCAGCTACTCCAGCACCATGTCTGGCATGGACTGAATCTCCGAACTGTAAGTCAGCCCCAATTAAATGTTTTCCTTTATAAGAATTGCTATAGTGATGTGTTTCTTCACAGCAATAGAACCCTAACTAAGTCACCTTCTAAATGTTTATACCCATATATTGATGCTGCTCTCAGCCTTGCCAGAGAAGCTTCCTGTTGCAGTGGGCTCAAGTCCAAATGGATTTAAGACCTCAATATCAATCTGACCACTGACCACGCTGCACCTGATAAAAGAGAAAGTGGGAAGTAGTCTGCAACACATGGACACAGGAGACCAATTCCTACATATAACCCCAGTAGCATAGACAATAAGAGCAACAATGAATTAATGGGACCTCCTGAAACTGAGAAGCTTCTGTAATGCAAAGGACACTGTCATTAAGACAAAAAGGCAACCTACTGAATGGGAGAAGATCTTCACCAACCCCGCATCAGACAAAGGTCTGATCTCCAAAATATATAAAGAACTCAAGAAACTAGACATTAAAACTCTAATTAACCCAATTAAAAAATGGGGCACTGAACTGAACAGAGAATTCTCAACATAAGTCCAAATGGCCAAAAGACACTTAAGGTCATGCTCAACCTCCTTAATGATCAGGGAAATGCAAATCAAAACAACTTTGAGATACCATCTTACACCTGTCAGAATGGCTAAAATCAAAAACACCAATGATAGCCTTTGCTGGAGAGGTTGTGGAGTAAGGGGAATACTCATCCATTGTTGGTGGGAATGCAAACTTGTGCAACCACTTTGGAAATCAGTGTGGTGATTTCTCAGGAAACTGGGAGTCAACCTACCTCAGGATCCAGCAATTCCACTCTTGGGAATATACCCAAGAGATGCCCAATCATACTACAAAAGCATTTGTTCAACTATGTTCATAGCAGCACTATTTGTAATAGGCAGAACCTGGAAACAACCTAGGTTCCCCTCAATAGAAGAATGGATAAAGAAGGTGTGGCACATACATACTTTAGAGTTCTACTCAGCGGTAAGAAACAATGACATCTTGAACTTTGCATGCAAATGGATGGAAATAGAAAACACTTTACTGAGTGAGATAACCCAGACCCAAAAAGAGGAATATGGTATGTACTCACTCATAAGCAGATTCTAGCCATAAACAAAGGACATTGAGCCTATAGTTCGTGATCCTAGAGAAGCTAAATAAGGTGAACCCAAAAAAAAAAAACATATAGTTATCCTCCTTGATATTGGAAGTTGACAAGATTACCGGGCAAAAGTTGGGAGCAGGGGGGTGGGGGTGGATTGGGGGAAGGGAAGATAGGGAGAGAGAAGGGAGAAGGGGAGGATTGGGGGAGAGCTTGGGGGAATGGGATAATTGAGATGGAGGAAGGGTAGATATGGGAGCAGAAAAGAAGTTATCCTAACCAAGGGAGCCATTTTAGGGTTGGCTAGAGTCTTGGCTCTAGAGGGGTTCCAGGTGTCCAAGGGGATTTCCCCAACTAGTTCCGTGGGCAGCAGAGGGGAGGGTACTTGAACTGGCCTTATCCCATAGCCACACTGATGAATATCTTGCATATCACCATAGAACCTTCATCTGGCGATGGATAGAGATAGAGACAGAGACCCACATTGGAGCACTGACTTGACCCAGCTCCCAAGGTCCAAATGAGCAGAAGGAGGGAGAACATGAGCAAGGAAGTCAGGACCGCAAGGGGTGTGTACACCCACTGAGACAGTGGGACTGATCTAATGGGAGCTCACCAAGGCCAGCTGGACTGGGACTGATAGAGCATGTGATCAAATTGGACTCTCTGAATGTGGCTGACAATGAGGGCTGACTGAGAAGCCAAGGACAATGGCATTGGGTTTTGATCCTACTGCATGTACTGGCTTTGTGGGAGCCTAGTCTGTTTGGATGCTCACCTTCCTAGACCTGGATGGAGGGGGGAGGACCTTGGACTTCCCACGGGGCAGGAAACCCTGGCTGCTCTTAGGACTGTAGAGGGAGGGGGAGGAGGAGTGGGGGGAGTGGGAAGGAAATGGGAGGAGGGGAGGAGGTGGAAATTTTTAATAAATTAATAAGAAAAAAAAGAGACACAGGCTAACATCCTTCTGTATACAAGAAACTCACCTCAACCTCAAAGACAGACATTACCTCAGAGTAAAGGGTGGGAAAAGTTTTTCCAATCAAAAAGCTCTAACAAACAAACAGGTGTAGTCATCTTAATATCTAACAAAATAGACTTCAAACTAAAATCAGAAGAATAGACTTCAAACTAAAATCAGAAGAGATGGAGAAGGACACTTTATACTCATCTCAGGAACAATCCATCAAGATGAAGTCTCAATCCTGAACATCTATGACCCAAATACAAGAGCACCCACATATATAAAAGAAACATTACTAAAGCTTATATTGCACATCAAACCCCACACACTAAAAGCAGATTTCAACACCCCACTCTCCACAATGGACAGGTCAACCAAACAGAAACTTAACAGAGAAATAACAGAACTAACAGATGTCATGACTCAAGTGAACTTAACAGGAATCTATAGAACATTCCACCCAAACACAGAATAATGTATCTTCTTCTCAGCACGTCATGGAACCTTCTCTAAAATTGATCTCATACTCAGTAACAAAGCAAACCTCAACAAATAAAAAAAAATAGGAATTACCTTCTGTATCTTATCTGATCACCGCAGTTTAAAGTTAGAATTTAATAACAACACTAATTGCAGAAAACCTACAAACTCATGCACATTGAACAGTGTTCATTAGAATCACCCCTGGGTCAAGGAAGAAATAAAGAAATTAAAGACTTCCTAGAATTCAACAAAAATGAAGGCACAACATACCCAAACCTATGGGACACTATGAAAGCAGTGCCAAGAGAAAAGTTCATAGCACTGAGTAACTACATAAAGAAAGTGGAGAAATCTCACAGTAGCGACTTAACAACACACCTGAAACTTCTAGAACAAAAAGAAGCAAACTCTCCAGGAGAAGTAGAAGACAGGAAATAATAAAATTGAGGACTGAAATCATAAAATAGAAACAAAAAAATACAAAGAATCAATAAAACAAAGAGCTGGTTCTTTGAGAAAATCAATGAGATAGACAAATCCTTATCCAAACTAATCAAAAATCAGAGAACATCCAAATTAACAAAATCAGAAATGAAAATTGGGAAATAACAATATACACTAAGGAAGTCCAGAGAATCATTAGGTCATACCACAAAATTCTGTATTCCACAAAATTGAAAAATATGAAAGAAATGGACAATTTTCTGGATAGGTACCACATACAAAAGTTAAATGAAGACCAGGTAAACAATTTAAAGGGACCTATAACCCATATGGAAATAGAAGCAGTCATCAAAAGCCTCCTAACCAAAAAAAGTCCATGGCTGGATGGGTTCAGTGCAGAATTCTATGAGAACTTCAAAGAAGAGTGAATACCTATACTCAAAGTGTTCCACATATTAAAAAGAGAAGGAACACTGCCAAACTTTTTATGAGGCTACAGTTACCCTGACACTGAAAACGCACAAAGACTCAAGAAAGAAAGAAAGAAAGAAAGGAAGGAAGGAAGGAAGGAAGGAAGGAAGGAAGAAAGAAAGAAAGAAAGAAAGAAAGAAAGAAAGAAAGAAAGAACGAACAGACCAATCTCACTCATGTACCTTTGAATGCATGGGCACAGGAAGCCACTTTCTAAATATAGCACCAGACAATGAGAGTAGCAATAAATAAATGGGACCTTCTGAAACTGAGAAGTTTTTATAGAGCAAAGGACACATTCAATAAGACAAAAAAGCAGCCCACTGAATGGGAAAAGATCTTCACCAACCTCACATCAGATAGAGGAGTGATCTCCAAAATATATAAGAACTCAAGAAACTAGACATCAAAATACCAAATAATACAATTTTAAAATGGGGTACAGATCTAAACACAGAATTCTCAACAGAAGAATCTCAAATGGTCAAAACACGCTTAAGGAAATGTTCAACATCCTTAGGCATCACAGAAATGCAAATCAAAAGAACTCTGAGATACCATCTTACACCTGTCAGAATGGCTAAGATTAAAAACACCAATGATAGCTTATGCTGGAGAGGATGCAGAGTAAGGGGAATACCCCTTCATTGCTGGTGGGATTGCAAACTTGTATAGCCACTTTGGAAACCAGTACAGCAGTTTCTCAGAAAATTAGGAACCAACCTACTTCAAGACCCAGAAATATCACTCCTTGGGCATTGGGGGGGGCTCAATTATACTATAAGGGCATTTGTTCAACTATATTCATAGCAGCATTATTAATAATAGCCAAGAACTGGAA